GTACACAGGGTGTCTATGCTGATTATATACTGATATCATGCTGTACCATGATTCACCCCTTGATGGGTCATCCTCTCCAGCGCGTACTTGAGTAGTGTACACAGCATGTCTATGCTGATTATATACTGATATCATGCTGTACCATGACTTACCCCTTGGTGTGTCATCCTCTCCAGCGCGTACTTGAGTAGCGTACACAGCGTGTCTATGCTGATTATATACTAATATCATGCTGTACCATGACTTACCCCGTGATGTGTCATCCTCTCCAGTGCATACTTGAGTAGTGTACACAGGGTGTCTATGCTGATTATATACTGATATCATGCTGTACCATGACTTTCCCCTTGATGTGTCATCCTCTCCAGAGCATACTTGAGTAGTGTACACAGGGAGTCTATGCTGATTATATACTGATAACATGCTGTACCATGACTTACCCCTTGATGTGTCATCCTCTATAGCGCGTACTTGAGTAGTGTACACAGTGTGTCTATGCTGATTATATGCTGATATCATGCTGTACCATGACTTACCCCTTGATGTGTCATCCTCTCCAGCGTGTACTTGAGTAGTGTACACAGTGTGTCTATGCCGATTATATACTGATATCATGCTGTACCATGATTCACCCCTTGATGGGTCATCCTCTCCAGCGCGTACTTGAGTAGTGTACACAGGGTGTCTATGCTGATTATATACTGATAACATGCTGTACCATGACTTACCCCTTGATGTGTCATCCTCTATAGCGCGTACTTGAGGAGTGTACACAGTGTGTCTATGCTGATTATATGATATACTGATATCATGCTGTACCATGATTCACCCCTTGATGGATCATCCTCTCCAGCGCGTACTTGAGTAGTGTACACAGTGTGTCTATGCCGATTATATACTGATATCATGCTGTACCATGAATAGCCCCTTGATGTGTCATCCTCTCCAGCGCGTACCTGAGTAGCGTACACAGGGTGTCTATGCTGATTATATACTGATATCATGCTGTACCATGAATAACCCCTTGATGTGTCATCCTCTCCAGCGCGTACCTAAGTAGTGTACATAGGGTGTCTATGCTGATTATATACTGATATCATGCTGTACCATGACTTACCCCTTGGTGTGTCATCCTCTCCAGCGCGTACTTGGGTAGTGTACACAGGGTGTCTATGCTGATTATATACTTATATCATGCTGTACCATGAATAACCCCTTGATGTGTCATCCTCTCCAGCGCATACTTGAGTAGTGTACACAGCGTGTCTATGCTGATCATTGACATCGCTTTTGAACGTGTGTCAATACACTCTGCTCTCATTATCTTCTGTAAATACAAACACGTAATTATATCACGCTTAATAAATTGAACGAGCGAGTTTAGAGGGAGATTGGTAAATTTTTGTCCAAATGAAAGAGTCTCGGCTCCCTCCTAAGTCTCAGCTCCCTCCTAATGAGGGAGGGATGACAGTTATGAGTATGGGCAATTATTACAACCATATGTCTCAGAGTATTTAAATCTTGTAATAATCTGTTACATACATATAAACTTTATTTATTTTACAGCAACTATGAAACAAGTTATTTCAACTTTTATTAATCACTCTTGTTGGCCCAGATGTTAGCGTACGGGGGACTTAATGTGCGAGGAAACCGGAGTACCCGGACGTGGTCAGGCAGGTGACCCCTGATACCTTTCCAAGATAGGGAAATTGAACCCTACCGCCTTGGTGAAAGGCAAGTGCGCTATCCACTGCACAACTCAACCACCCAATCTGTCATCTGTTACATATAGTTGATGAAATGTGTTAATAAGCTGTTGCGATTATATCAATGCAGCGTAACAAATATGTCTGGATGAGAAGTGCTGAGTGTTTAACATACTTCACACTCGGGGCAGACCCAGTCCTTGGGAAGCTTTTGTCCGAGGTTGAGACATTTGGTATGGTAGACACGGGGACACAGCTCACAGCAGATCACAGTTCCTTCTTTGTGACACAGCCAACAGAAGTAGTCGTTCCTGTTGTCCTGAAACACAACAAGTAATTAGTCAAAGTTGTAAGTCATTTCTATAGCCATACAACACAACAAATAATTAGTCAAAGTTGTAAGTCATTTCTATAGCCATAAAACACAACAGTTAACAAGGATTCAACCTGGAAAACTGTTCGTCACCGTGTCATTAAGTCATACCTGTTGTCCTTAAATACAACCGTAAAAACAAAACTTTAAGCTTGAATTCTGCTAAGTCATTTCTACTCAACTGAAGCTTGAATTCTGTTAAGTCATTTCTGATATCCTCAAACTTTTTTAACTCTAGATCTGTTAAAAAAGACCATACATATATACCTCTCCAGATCCATCATTGCGGCCAATTTTACGACGTTTTGGTGGGACGGTTTGTCCTCCTGGTCCCTGAGCATGAATTCCCTCCACTGTTCCTGTAAGGCCGCGTTTCCTGCCACTGCCACTGGCTGCTGTGGCAGTGGTGCTGGAAGGCGGTGTCGCTGACATCTCTACAAACATACCAGAAATTCTTAAAGCAAATATCCCAAATTTCAAATATTTTTATTTTGGTTTTTTCCCACCCCAATATTTTAATTTACGTGGTATCTTTACTTTTCCTTTTTGAAAATTTCTTAGCATTAAAAATATATACGTATACCTGTAAACTTTCATCTGGTCAAATATTCGCCATTCAAATTTAATGGAAAAATCTATATTGGCCGAGTGTTAATTTCACACATTTATGCCTTATTACTATTTGTGGTATTATATTGTATGCTGTTAGCTAACATTTGCTGTCACGATTGAATTTGCCGTCAATGTGGAGAATGAAAATGGCGAAAATTAAACTGGCAAAAACTTTCCGCCTATAATACAGTATTTCCAAATTAAACACATCATAAAATTTCCTTTCCTTGTATTTTCCTGCCAAATTGCTGATAACCTGACGTTGTTACTGCTTTTTATCAAATATTTCCTTGTTATCGAGTAATATTTTATTTTTCTATCTAGCAAACAAACTCATATTAGACTGACCCCCCTTATCAGTAAAAATACTCTCTTAATATTAAACTTGAATTATTTTCAAATTTGAAAATCGTTACATTTTTAAATTTACATTGATACTTAAACAAATCATTTAAGACCATCAACGTTTTGAGAAGTAAGTTACAGATTTTCCGAAGACATATAACCTAACAACTTGTTAGAGCACAATGTACAAAATTTATATATATACATAATGTATATGTAAATGTATTTGAAACAAATAAAAATTAGAGACTGATGCTATGCCTGATGCATGTTTATGTGGGGATAAAAATCACGGACACATTCTGTTATATCAGAACGAGGCTTGAACTAATAAAACATACTGGTCCCATAGATAGATATATTTACAGGATGTCACTCAAAGGACTACTAGGGCACTAAGGGTCATTTTCGGCCTCATCAGGGATTTTGAATCAGTTGCTATATATGCAAATATGAAATTTTCAAATTTATCTGACAACTGGTTTAGGAAATATGGCATCACAAAGAGAGACATAAACCCACATTTCCATAACAAAATGTGTGAATATCGTATGTTGGGCGCTGTTTGGTTGAAAATTGGCCATTTTGATTGAGATTAACTACACGCTCTTAAGTTTTTGAAAGCCTCCGCATGCAACAAACAAATAAATATTTGACATGCTTAAACATTGTCACACAAGTGTTCATTCGTAGGAAGGAATTTTTGTTTGTCACATTTACCACCAATTAAAATCAGAAAAAAAGATATGCCAATCAAACCAAAGTTATAGCCGTATATATGTTTTAGCCAATCAGAAACATTAGAAGGTGACCATCTTGATTATGGGGATCGAGTAAAAAAAATGCTGTTTAAAAACGCATGATATTTATCAAATCCATTTAAATCCCAAATAAATATTGATGAGTCAACAAGGACAACAACAAATCATGGATGTCTTAAAAAAAGACCACAAATTGTTTCAAAACTTTCTTACAGATCTCTGTACTACTGCTAAAACCTGTAACTACATGTACACCATATTGTTTTTTAATGTCCATGGGGCAGATAATGCATGCTCAGAATTAACAGCATTTATAAAATGTGATTGTACACCTAGGGAAAAAACACACGTTTAAATGGCATTTTGAGCGGACGTCCTTTCTGGTGAATTAAATCGCTAGATCTTAGAAAATAGGAAAAGTTCAGCAAAATCATCACTGGTTGGAATGCTCAATTTTAGGGTCCAAAATGGGGAGTCTCCCTCTAAAATAAGGGAGGGTTGGCAAGTATGCTACAAATATGGTTTGTGTCATAGGTTAAAAACTGATATATATATTACCGTATGAGAAGGTTTTTTTTATTTTTTTAATTTATTTTTTTATATAGTATAGTATATATATAATAGTTTATTTTTTCCATTATATATCCACCATTATATAGGTTGCATAAAGTTGTATACAATAATTTTCTTTACGTTTTGTTAAGAGAAAGTTATGTTCAAAATGTTTGTTCCTGCACATATAACCAGCATGCTAAGCAGATCTTGTCCGGGAAACAATGTTCCAGTTGTCCAAGAGCTAGACTTTCCGGTTCATAATGAACTATTCCAACCTTTGCATTGGAAGAGTTCAAATGTGGCTTCAGGGGTGAATGAGTTAAAAGTTCACTGTAGATTTATATCTGAAATCAATGTAGGTTGTAGATTGAAATCAGAATGCCTGGTTCTGATAGATCTTAGGTCCTTGAATGAGACCTTTACGAGATTAAATGTTCACGGTAGATTTAATTTGGACCAACGTACGCTGTAAACTGAGATGGTGTCTTCGCATAAACAGGTAACACCAGTTAAGGGAGGCCTTGAAGTTTGGGTCGGGGTGCTTGGATTTACAGAGCTCTGCTGCATGCTTTCGTATTTCTGTGGACCCGACACTGATACCTTCTTCTTTCCGATCTCGGATCCAAGCATAAAGTTCCTTCTCCATGCTTGGATTCAAGGGCTGTTTACCTCTGTTTGCTCGTTTGCCCATAGGCGTGGTCTCCAGATCATCTTCCTGCTTTTTCCAGTTGCGTACGTTGGATTCTCCGACATTGAACCGGCGACCGGCCGCTCTATTACCAAACTTCTCGGCGAAGTCGACAATTTGGAGTTTCTCTTCGGCAGTCCATGAATCGTTGGAACGTCCAGTTGCCACTCGTTCTATGTCTGCACAACAGGTTGTAATATTAAAACAATCATTCACATGTCTGTCGAGGGGATAGGGATAATCTGACAGGGGTTTCACAACTTGATATTAGGGAAAAAATCATGTGCCAATAAAAATCCCTCAGTTTTCAACTTCTGAACCCAAGGAAAAATGGACCCTAATCCCTAAATCAGTTCATAAAAAGGATTGACGTTCTTCCAAATTTATAGGAAGGTTTGTTGAAATATTTAAGAGAAGAAGTGATATTGATAAGAATATAATACGTAGGTGCAAATTCTGCTTTAATTATACAAACTACAAAAGGATCATTAAAGACAAGACTTGAAACAATTTGTGATTTTCATACGATATCATGTTTGACACTATGGTAGGACATCATTAAAAATGATGCTAGTTGAACTTTTATCAAGCTGAAACATATATGGCTATACTTTTTATACATACATGTATATATAAATTGGGGAAATGTTCTTTTAGAGCTCGTACAATTTGTTACATTATAATAATACTGTCTACTTTCAAATATTAGAACCAAATACATATTTGTTATGACTGAGTATTTTATAATCACCAGACAAAATTATACAGTACATATGAATATATTTATGTCAGATTTTGCGTACATTTTAAACTGTGGGTATCTTAACAATTAACGACGGGCAACACAGGCATACGGCTGTAATAATATCTTACATAAACTAACTGGTATTTCAGCTGGAACATTCGACTAAGTTGAACGCAATATAGCTCTTCCACTCACTACTAGCATAAAAGCATCAGTAGCTCAAGTTAGCGTTAATCTATAGATTAGTAGCGGAGGCACGGTAGTCTAGTGGTAGGACGTCGGGCTCGTGACAGAAGGGTTACGGGTTCCAGTCACGGTCCGGCACTGTGTTGTATCTATGAGCAAGATACTTTACTCTGCTTGTTCCAATGTGTCTTCAGGGGTAAATGAGTGAGTTAATACAGAAAATAAAGGTGAACTTGACAGATATGAATATGTTGACTTACCTTTATGCATGAGGCTTTGGTTATTTTCTATCTCCTTGGCGACAGCAACGGTATACGTCCCGTTCATGTGGATGCTGCCAGTGGAGAGACGTGTACGTATACCTCGCCCTCCGCCGGCTGGTGGCGATTCATGGACTGGTTCACCTGTGGAACAAATTGGTGTAATTTGAGAGTCTGTTTACGGGGGCAAGTCAGCTGATGGTTCGTTTGAGTGGAACATCAATGCATGAGAAGTTTTGAAGATAACAAAAACCTTGATTTATGCAAGTTACAAGAAAGCTGGCTTCAGCAGAGAATTCATGCCTGAACATCATAGAACGGCTTCATGAATATGGGCTCTGAATTCAGAATGCAACACTCCGCCATTCCAAGATGTACTTTTATTAATTGTATTCAAAATTTGGCAATTAAAGGTGAGAGAGTCAGATATGTCCTAGATGAATTACTTAGCGGGGGGGAAAAAGTATTTTGAAGTGATTTGCATAACATGTTTACTCAAGCAAAGAAACTGCTGGGTAAATAAACCCAAACTCCACCACTTAATAGCAAACCCTTGTCCACCTCTAAGTAAACAAATTCCACGTCAACTGCTTAATAAACATATTAAAACTCCATGTATTTAAATTTGGTATGAACATACTCTTATCTTTATCTTTTTCTTTTTCTCCATCTTTTCCCTTTTCTTTCGGCTTCTCCGCTTCCTTCTTTGGAAGAATTCTTTGTAATCCTGGGCGCCGGCGAAGGGATATGGTCTCTGTAAAAACGGACAAATCAATTTTTGTTTAATTTGTAAAACAGGTGTGTGCACATGAGCCATATCTTTTCAAAATAATGTATCTATCAGTTCCTGTTCCTTCATTAACCCTTTCACCACTGTAGACCATAATAGACTCATCCATATCAATGCATGGCAGAGTCTACTGAAGTTACATAGGGGTGAAAGGGTTAAATAGCATATTATATATATTGCGAAACTTTCGCCCGTCAAACTTTCGCCCTTTGAAATGCTTGTAAAATCTATTTTTCGCCCTTCACAGTTGATCTCTATGTTTAATTTATAATGTTTACTCATATTGGCTCTTATGATAAATTCACCCTCAGACGACGAAAAAGTCGAAACTTAAACTGCGGCAAAAAAATCCCGGTACACAGTATAATATATATGGCACTATGATATTTTGAAATGATTTGCCTACCAATTATTCGGTCAATTTTTTAATTTTTTTTAAGTATTTCTTTTTGTGTTAATATGTAGAGGGTATTTTTAATGGTTTCCTATACTTAATGCTATAATATATATATATCTCTTGAGTATATGTCAGATCAACATTGACATTTTTCACGGGTGTGAATTTTCAGACCAAGAGTGAAAATATCGGTATATTCGGCCATAGAAGTAAACTATTTATGATATTCACGGGGGGAAAAAAATTGCCATTTTTGGCAAAACAACAACGAAAAAAGGCAGCACTGAAAATTTGGAATCAGAAGCAAAACATCTGATGCCTTGTTCTAATGACATCACACTTGACTACTAGCTAGGCTATGCATAATACATAATTTCCGCGATTCAAGTTTCCGGAACAAATTGAAAGTCATGTGATTTGGCTGTCACTTGATACATTTAGGGAGCACGTATGCTTTTATGTATCCCCAATCTGACATGAAAAGATATAGGTCCACCTGCCCGACCACGTTGGTTTTCTCTGGGCATACTCCGGTTTCCTCCCACAGTAAGACCCCCCCCAGCGCGTTATAACATCCCGGCCAACAACAGTGATTAGTATAAGTTGTAATAACTTGTTTCATGATATTGTTGTAAAATAAATCAAGTTTATATTCATTTACTTCCATGTAAAGGTAAATGAGAAGAAAACCAACTTCGTCGAAGTAAAACAATGGTAAAGAATAAAATTGACTGAAATTTCACATCCTTCAAGAACAGGATATCAAGCGACTAGTACCCTGTTGTAAGATATGCAGTCTGGAACCTGCCATACCAGTTTTTTTGGAAAGTGTTTTGCGTAACTCTCAGATTTTTTCGTTGTGTACTGGAAAAATACACATACCCCATTATCACATGACATGTGTGTCTTAAACCCGGTCAAATCTGGAGAGAAAAAGTACGGTATTTCAAAAATGATGTATTTTTAATGAGTTTTACTCAATGCAATTCTACCATTCGCTGCTATATTATCTGTTAACTTGTTAAGCTTGTATACCAAAGGGGACATGAAAATACAGAGTACACCACAGTAAATGATAAAAATGACTAAATATGCTTCCTTAAGAACATTTTCAAGCATTTGGAAAAAAGAAAAAAAAAGAAGAAAAAAGTGAAACAATTCAGCATGAGGAGACGACTAATTCTGGGACAATTCAGCACTACAAGGGTTAATAGAAGCTAGACTATTATTATCAGAGCATCATTTTTAAAAACATTTTGATTGTGTTTAACTGAAAGACAGACTACAACAATGGAAAACATGGCACATACCTATAGCTACTATACTGTCTACGATTTGGGACACCGAGGTCAGTCGGTGCATTAAAATATCGCTGTAGCTTCTGCATATATGAATTCAATTCAAGGTCAGACAATGTGTTAATCTTCAACAGGTACTCTAGATCTTGGTAAACAATTTTTATATCAAATTTGTTCAATAGCACTTTGCACATGAGAAAAGATTTGAAGTTGGACTTTCAATCAGGCAATAGTTTTTTTAGTTTAAACATACCGTATTTTATTGTACAAATATACAAATGGATTGGACAATAAGTTATTACAACTTAATAAAGTCCTCTCCTTAATACATAACATGAATATATATATGTATATGTCAGGCTACCGTAGGGCTACATGTAGCTAGAAATTCATTTTGAAACCCACTTGAGTCAGTCATCTCGTAGTTTCCAGTTTTACTTGCTAGTCCATGTGCGAATTTCACAAACCCAATATTATTTGACAGGACTAGTCATACCAGATTTTGATTAGTCAATCAGGCTAGCTGTGTTTAGAAAATAGTCCAGCAGGAGATTTAACATTTTTTGTTGTTGTCTCAGATTAGTGGGCTACCCTTATTCATATCTAATATAACCCCTGGCAATATATTTCAAGTACAATATACTAATGTATAATTGCTTAATAATTTTATTATGTACATTAACTTATTCACCCCTGTAATTTCATAATGAACTATTTCAACCTTGATAAATTTGGAAGAATTTAAATGTGTCTTCAGGGGTGAATGAGTTAATAATGTCTATATATGTTATTGGTTTCAATGTGTGATATAGCCATGTTTTCTTCTTTTATTTTTGATTTACACATAAAGTGTTGAGTGTGACCAACATGAAACTCCATTGCTATTATAGACTTGGCCCATACAGTCATACAATCTACAGTTTAATGTATACCAGGGACTCTCGGCTTTCTCCCAGCCAGCTCAATCATTATACAGATACAATGCCCCTAATGTACAGCCAGCTATCTCAGATCTGTGTATCTGAATGTGTAAGCATGAGGGGCCTCCCACGGGGATTTTTTTATAATATATTCAACTTTATTTCGATAGCAGGCAAACAAAGCTGCATTATATGGATCAAACAGCAAATTAGCACACTATTAACAAACACATAAGAACTATACTCAGAAAGTAAGCATAATATTGAACTTAAGCACTTTACAAGTCCATATATATATACTGTTTGTCACAATTCATTGACAAATATATATAGACTATCATAGTGCAGTGTTCAAACTTAAATTCATTTATAAAACAAATCTTCCTTGAAGTTATATTCCTATAGGTTCTTATATTTTATCTGTATAGAATTTTCAGTATAAAACAATGCAGCTTTTTATTCATGGTTTGGTTTGTTCTACAGTGGTAGCACATTTTGTATAACCAGGCTCAGTATAATCTGCTGATTGACCTATATACATAGCTGAACAGATTTATATTGCTACATGACCACCGATAATTTATAAATGTTACATTAATTCAGTAAGCATCCCTTTTTTTAAGATTTCAGTTTCAATTAAATAAAGCAAAACTGCATAAAAAATCAGTTTTAAAGACATAATGTTTACCACAAAAAGAATATACATTGAGATGTATGATTCTATTTTTCATAAACATATAATTTGCCATTTTTTTACTTTTACATTGTTTGTTTGGTGTTTAATTTTCTCACAACAGCTGGGATCATTAGAAGCTGGCGAAAGCAAACTGTTTATATATCGGGAGACTTTCGCCCTGTCAAATATTTGCAGTTTTTTTTTATAAAATCGATGTTCGCCCAGTGTTACTTTTGCCCTTCCTATGTTGCCTGTTGTGAACCAAAAAAAATTGTAAAACAGATAAATTTGTCCTCATTGGGGAGGGTGAAAAAGACAAATGTTAGCCTGCAGCGAAAAGTTCCCGGAACTTATGTTACAGGAGAGAGAGAAATGCACGGCCGACCAGGATTTGAACCCCCAGGATCCTTCGAACTCGAGACAGACGCTCTACCAATTGAGCTACCTGGTCACAAACAATCGACCCAGTCCAGTACATTCCACAACATTCCTTCATCCTTTTTCTAAGTCTTTGCCCCCGAAGACACAACTATTTACAACCCAGGTTTGGGTATCCCCTTGCTAAGCGCACTCCCAATACATGTCCTTCAAACAATGGTTGGCAAGCTCACTAATTTTGTAACAGAAGAAAGAGCTAGAAATCCACAGAGCTCAAATCTCTGGTCCCTCTGAACTCTAGATGGATGCTCTACCAATTGAGGTACCAGGAAGCTGGCGATCGACCAGGAGTCCAGTTCCCCTACACTTATAAAAGTGAAGAAATCTTTTTTAAATACTCCTCCGTGTCATTTTCTTTTCTAGAGACATTTTTGGTAGAAGTTAACAATACAACTAGTATATATAGGCCGTTTCAGTATAAAAGCTCAATTGACAGTTTGCATTGAATTGATGGGGTTATTTTTCTTTATATAGTCAACTAGCTGTTTTTAAAGGCCATCTATCAATATTCTTTTCTTTTTCACTTGGGTGGTGTTTGTAGAAAGGCTTTTCAATTTATTTGATTTTTTTGTCAAAACATGTCCAGTAGGATCTGTATTTTAATTTTGATAAACACAACACAGCAACAGATTTACAAGTTGTATCAATGAAAACAAAAATTTATTACATATGACACAAATTAATATATTATCCTATCAGAAGTCCTTGAAAATATCTATATGTAACTTTACAATGATTAACTTGACAATGACAGCTTAATTGACCCAGACACCTTCTTCCTAGGTATTATCCAACAACCTCCTACCCCAGACCATCACCAACTCCTATAGGGAGTCCTCAACTCCTCTAAGGTATCAATGACCCTCCACGGTTTCCTCAACCCCTCTAAGGTATCACTGACCCATCCACAGTGTTCTCAACCCCTCCAAGGTATCACTGACCCCTCAATGGTGTCCTCTACCCCTCCAGGGTATCAATGACCCCTCCAGAGTGTTCTCAATCCCTCTAGGGTATCACTGACCCCTTCAAGGTGTTCTCAATCCCTCTAGTGTATCACTGACCCCTCAAGAGTGTCCACACCTCAATCCCTCCAAGGTATCACTGCCCCCTTCAAGGTGTTCTCAATCCCTCTAGGGTATCACTAATCCCTTCAAAGTGTTCTCAATCCCTCTAGGGTATCACTGACCCCTTCAAGAGCATCCTCACCTCAAGGCCTCGAGGGTGTCACTGACCCGTCCAAGGTGTCCTCAACCCCTCCAGGGTGTCACTGACCACTCCAGAGTGTCCTCACCTCAAACCCTCCAGGGCATTACTAACCCCTTCAATAGTGTCCTCACANACCCCCCCAAGGTGTCCTCAACCCCTCCAGGGTGTCACTGACCCCTCAAGAGTGTCCTCACCTCAATCCCTCCAAGGTATCAATGACCCCTCCAAGGTGTCCTCAATTCCTTCAGGGTATCACTGACCCTCCAGAGTGCCCATACCTCAACCCCTCCAGGGTATCACTGACCCCTCCACAGTATCCTCAACCCTAACAGGGTGTCCTTTGACCCTCTAGAATGTCACTGATCATGACTTCAGCAGATTGTTTTCAACCCATTTAGGAGGTCTTCAACCCTTCCCGGGTATCAATGTCCCCTCCTGACACACATTTGATTTTTAAGAACATTTTGTTTTAGAGCTTTGTTTAGAGGGCTCTCCTGCCTTTCAATTTTTTATATAATTTTGGCCAGCTCCACACCAAAAGAGATGGAAGGCAGTGCCATGGCAGTCTCCCTCAGAATCTGCCTACGTGAATGAAAGGACCCAGTAGGCCGATCTCTCTTTTGAAATCACTGATTTTAACATTTGATAAGCTTAAAATTGACTCTGATTTCCACATCATTGATTTCTATTGCCGATTTAAATATTAATGACTTGAATTACTGTTTTTAGTATTGATGTTATCGCTTGCCTTACCTCTGCTGTTCTCTGCACGCCCTTGACTCATGGTGGATCTGAAGATAAAAAGTGATAATCTGTAGAAATTGAATAAATAAAGAAATTATATTATATATATATGACATGAGTTGGTAATAGTTCAAAGCCTTGTTGTGTTTATAATATAGTAGAGCAAGTTTTAAATTCCGCTATATGTCTTCCTTGATATAATGATGTGCTTCCTTGGTTATGCAAAACATTCTCTGGATAAATGGTCACAGTATCACAAGGTTTCACTGTAATTATGATCCAGTTGCAATTTGGTGGGACAATTAAAGAGAAAGAAAGTTCAAAGGTCACATAAATGTGCTTCTGTAACAGGAAAGAGATTACTGTATAAGAAACTTTTGCCCTATGAAACGTTTGCCCAGTGAAACTTTCGCCCTGTGAAACGTTCGCCCAGTTAACGTTCGCCCAGTGAAACGTTCGCCCTGTGAAACTTTCGCCTTTCACTGGACACACTGTCAGCTTCACCCTTCACATGCAATGACTGTATATGGTATAGGGTGAAGTAATATTTGCTGTTATGATAAATTCGCCTTCATCACGGAGGGCGAAATGGCGAAAGTTTAAATGCGGTGAAAATTTCCCAGTATGCAGTAGTTAGGGTCTACCCAGGTTCGAACAACGGACCCTCATGATCAGCTTTCCATTTATCCACTATCAAATGAGCTGAAAAGAAAATTCCTCACCTTCAAGGCTAGAAAACACTAATAACACTGAGAAGCAAGCAACCAAAGGTTTTAACTCATGTACCCCTGAAATTTCATAATGAACTATTGAATTGCAAACTCTGAATTGGAAGGGTTCAAATGTGTCTTCAGGGGTGAATGAGTTAATGTCAAAATCTGCAAACTAAACAGGGAGTTTAACATTATCGGTTACATAGATAAATACCAATAATCTGTTGTGATGAATTCAAAATACACGAGTCTGTGACAGACAACACATATTGTGGACTGCAAACAAACAACTTTGAAACTAACAAGAAAATTCTTCAGGGGATAGATTTGAATCCTTTTATCCTCACCCTTATAATGCAAACCTTTAGCTACAAAAATGTACTTGTTTCAAACATTTTATAGCCTCCATCATAGGGTCTCTCTGCAGTGTTGACATCAGTTTTCAGCTGTGAACACAGCTAGAGATCTAAGGGTGGTCCTGATAGGGGGTCCCAGTATTAATTTTATATATCTAGTGGCCATGGGTCAACAAAGAGTAACACTATACATCCTGTACATTTATGGGGCTGTAGACCAATCAATGGTATCTATATTTACACTACGTGTAGCTAGTGGAGAATCCAAGATTTAGTTAACCCATTCTACCCTAAAGTCACATTTGAACCTTACCAAATCAAAGTCTGGTAAAGCCCAGTTTAGATATGTAGGGGTGAATGAGTTAATTAAGGGCCATGGGACCCAACCCTTCAGGATATAGCAACAAGAAGATTCAGAAAAATATTACAGAAACACCATTTTACAAGTGGATCATATGTAACAGGAAAGAGGATAGTTTGCTGCCACCGGGGATCAAACCCGCAATCTCCAGGTTCCTAGTCGGATGCTCTACCACTGAGCTAAAGGGAAATTCCCTCTTAAGCTCGAAGCTAGAAGGCGACCGTAATCCTATGTGCAATTAAAATCTGCCACACATACACTGTATTGGAAAATTTTGCCCAGTAAAATTTTTCGCCATATGTGGTATATTCGCCAAGTAATAATTTCGCCTTTTCGCTTTTGACAACTTTATGGTCATTACTATGCGCTGTGATGATAAATTTGCACTCATTATGGAATGCAAAAAGGCAAAATTTAAACTGCAGCGAACAAAATCCCTGAATACAGTACATGAGGGGGCAGATTTTGAAGGCCTCCCTAAGCCTCTTCTTCCCTAAAATATTCCCACATACCTACATAATTAACTGATTCTTTTTCTCCAATAAATTGTCTTTAAAACAATGTGAAAGGTAAAGTTTTGGTGCTTTCTATTCTCAATGTTCAACTCATTCACCCCTGAAGTTTTGTAATGAACTATTCCAACCTTTGAATTGAAAGAGTTCAAATGTGTTTTCAGGGGTGGATGTCAGTTAAGTCAAAACCATTCTAATAATGAATGGATATAATCTTCCTCAGTTGGATGGTGATACAGAAAAATCCCAACTTTTCGGGCAAGACCAGGCAGATCAAGCTTGGTGACATTCAAGAAACTTACCCCCAGGGTTTAAGTTTTTTTCTGTGTCATGCCAAAATTGGATGATGATTAATAGAGTCTTCCCCTACCATGAGGGTGTGACAGAGAAATCTCCGACTCGAGGGATGATTAATTCTTGATTTTCTCACCTGAGGCTTTGTCGAGGGTAAGAAATTTGAGAATATCATCCCGGGGGTTGGAGATTTCTCTGTTACACCCTCAAGGTAGGGGATGAGTGTTTTTTCTCCCATCTTGTTTCAGAGTTGTCTTCAATGGTCTGATGTACTGTTGATGTGACGTCAATGCATTGATGAAGTAATGTCACACTATTGTTATGCGCAAGGCTATCTCCCCTTAGGAGGAGACAAGCTTATCTTTTCCCGCTTAAAAGGGAGACACACCTGTGAGGGATGGGAGAATACTTTTTCTCCACTGTACCCCTGAGTGAAAATTGTTTCGTAAAAAAAGGAATGCTTTCTGCACCAAGCACGGATACCTATTACAGGATGTTATCTGATGGTAAAATGTTACGTCATTTAACTGATCTCTTTTTGAGATGTCATAATGTTTCAATCTGCTTCAACCACTGAGGGATGGAAAGAAAAATCTCTCCCATCCAGAGGTGTGAAAATTTCCCAAGCAGGGATGCTAGCTGTGATGCCACAATGAGGGTTATATAACCTCCTCTCCGGTGTTGATATGACAGAGAAATATCATAACCAAAAAGGTGATATTCTTGATTGTCTAACCCAAGGCTGGCTTCGATTTCCAGCTGAAGATGAGACATTCAAGAATATCACCCTGTGGGTTAGGATTAATAAAATCTTCTCTGACTTTGAGGGTGTGACAAAAAAATCTCCAACCTTTGGGTTAGTTGTCTAACCCACAAACAAATAAATCACCACTCAGGTTGAAGATTTCTCAGTCACATCCTCAAAGTAGGGGAAGATTATTTTTCTCCCTTAATTTCAATACCATGGGACAAACCTCTGGCAAACCCTCACCAGAGTAGGTGATTATTTTTCTCCCATTCTAATGTTAAAACATTGATTATCTACATTCGCAATTGGTTTCAGATCATCCTGATAGCACATATTTACCTCTCCAGCTGGTGTTCTATAGTTACTGTGACATCATCCTATTGTTATTTTTGTAACAGGAAAGAGAATAGTGTGCTTCCACCGGGGATCAAACCCGCAATCTCTGGGTTCCTAGTCGGACGCTCTACCACTGAGCTAAAGGAAAATTCCCTCTAGCTCAAAGTTAGAAGCCTACCGTAATCCTATGTACAATTAAAATCTGCCACATTTTCTATGAGCTGTCTATATAGATTTTTTCAGGTTGTCTACTCGTGGCTTTCAACTGTCACAAACAGAGGTGAAAAAAATTGACACCATGTATATATATATACATTATGATAATAGAGTCTTCCCCTACCTTGAGGGTGTGACAGCTGCGATATCTCCCACCCGAGGGTTGATGTTTTTTGGTTGTGACTAACCCGAGGCTCTGCCGAAGGTTAGATAACCAAAAACTTCACTCTGAGTGTTAGAGATTTCTCTGTTACATGTACGCTCAAGGTAGGAGATGATTATTTTTCTCCGATCCTATTATTTCAGTCACAACCCATGTTTGTAAAGAAAAACACATGTGTGGTATGAATATCGTCATTCACTTTTTATGACATCACTATTACCGTTGACACATTTTGATGACGTCACAATGGCGTGCTAATCGGCAAGAGGCTATCACCCCCTAGGGGGTGACAAGCTAATATTTCCCCGCTAAACAGGAGACACACATGTGAAGGGTGGGAGAAAATCCTGTCAAAAATTGAACTAATAACGGAAGTAAAATCTCATGCTTTCCATCATCATCAATTTGTTTTAGTATTTGTTTTGACTGTAGCCTAGCTGCAAAAAATTACGAAAGCTTAAATAATACAGGGGAAGTCAGGGACATAGCAGATGGTCTACTTCACAGGTAAAGTTTAGTGAAACGTCAGCTAAAACTGTCAGCTTGTACAAAAATGGATATATACCAAATGACATCATTTAAAAAATGTAACAGTCTTGATTCAAAACAGACACATTGACAGCATGCATGCTGCCTTACAAAGTAAAGCTTAGAGCTCTAATTATAAGTAATGGACATATAAACCTCCATGTGTGGATCCACAGGTATTTGGGGTCAGAACCGAAACTGAATCAAAACTTCATAAGGAATGGCATTTTTTCTTCTCCGATTTTAGAAGGACAGCAAAAGCATTTTTTTCAAATGAATAAAAAATGAACTATGCATGTCTTCAATTTTTTTAATGTAGAATCACCTTGCGTGTAGTGTAGCATCACAAAACTTCATCACTACAAGACCCCTTTAACTCATTCACCCCTGCAGACACATTTGAACTCTTCCAATGCAAATGTTGGAATAGTTCATTGTGAAATTTCAGGGGTGAATGAGTTTAACTTTAACAAGTAACTCTTCTGAACTTATCCAATGGCGGTGTCAAATTGACACATCAACATCTATGGAGTCAATTTTTTTGGCATCTGATGCAATGTTTAAATATTCTGCTATTTCATTTAATTCTTTAAAGAAATCTGTTTTAGAGAATAAATAATTTTCTAAAAGTTAAATTTTTGTAATTCTGAGTCAGATAAGGAATTTTATTATCATTCTGTTATATGCCCCATTATAATATGACGAATACAACCAATGTATTCCTTGTAGATAAATGGGTGTCCCGGGGGGCACATCATTTAAAAAAGTTTCTGTGAGTTATATTACATATGTGTCCGCATTCTTGGCCGATACAGGTCTGCAGAAATAATTATTGTGAAATTAATAGAATATGCCCTGTGGCAGATCATGCAGGCAGATGAAATATGCCAGTTGTCATAGTTATATTATCATGCAATTATCATTAATTTTTATGCCACACATACAGAGCTTGAGGTTGTTCCAAAATATAATCAGTTAATAATATAGCTATATGTACAGTTTAAATGTCTGTTAGCAAAATTGAAAGTCTTCAGATTGTCTTCCTTGTAGACTCGCAGTATATAGTAAGGAACATTTAACTTATCATATGATCATGGGTGTAGAATTTCAAACGCTTTACTATGCATGTATAGCCCACAGGCAGGTTTTGAAAAGTAAACTTGCTCAACCTACATTTTCATAGCAAATATTGAAAACTTGCACTACACACATACAACTCAACACAAAACCGTCTTAAACCTCGGGTAGATGACACATGGATTATTGTATACTTCTGTACTAGCTTATACATGTATTGATTTTTATTCTGTAGAACTTTGTACAGAATATTAATACTAATACATGGCCTGTACACAAGAATACCAGCTTATAATAGGGAAATTGCAAATAGGCCAATTTTACCTTAAAATCTGCTGACAAATTAACATGGATTAGTTAAATATTATACAATCTATATATACACTGATTATTGTGTAAACACATGCTAAGGAAATTAATCTACATGAAATATACACATGGTACTTATATTACATTAAACTTATTGTAATTCATGAAGTAAGAATATTTAGTATCAAATTTTATATTATATTGTATGATATACTATGGTAATTTTTTATGACATCATGAAAATTCTCATAAAATGTCGAACTCCATGTTACATGTTTTTTGTTACTTAATTCATTGAGAGAAATTATATACTTAGGACATCAAAATTAACCGAATTAAAATACTGTTAGCTTCACTCTGATACAAGAAAACCGCAATCACATATGAATTTATACATATTGTCTCCTGCTAAAATGACAGAATCATTTAGTTATGACGAGTATTTATCTTTTGAACATTTGGACTGCCATTCAGTACAGCACCCCTCTGATATAAATTACACATTCACTCTTAATACCAGGCTTGGTATATGTGTGTGTGTGTGTATGTGTATATATATACCAGTATATAAACAAGTAGTACACAAGCATATTGTTATACCTTTAAATAGTACCCCAGATGTACAAACGTGTGTAAGTTAAAGTCGGTAACAGAAGCTTGATGACTCTGTCAAACTCTGGCCTGTCTCATTCTTGTATACAGCCTTCCATCTTGTCTGTCTCAGTGAGCCTCTCAATAGCTTGCAGACACACATGTGCTAAATTTTCTCCCTGGGTGACCTTCACCCTGGCAATAGCTCAGGCCAGCATATAGATTGCAGCTGTATACATACATCTCATCAAGTGTCAAGTCTGACTCAAGTGGGCGGAGCTTAGCTCCCAACTTCTATTGATTGAATGACTGTAGTCATGGTTACCCAGCTCCCATTGGCTAGGCACAGGAGTGGCTATAAAGGTGCTTATCAAAAGACTTTTGTTGAAATACGAGGCCATGGGGGCCCCCCACAGGGTAATTGTTTAATATAATATTTTGTGAGGTGTGTTATACAGCCATTTCACTGACTTATATTAAGCACAAATTTGTTGACTTTTGTGCTGAATAATTAAAATATTAAGCATACATCCAAAAAGGAGTAAAATACATAATAAACCGAGTGACAAATTACAGTATATTCCTTCACTCATGTACCACAATGTACAATTTTATAATTTTTGAAGATCATTCTGCTACTTTTAGGCAAACATGGTTTTCCAACACAATTACAATCGTTTTTGTTTTAATAATTAGTTTCTTGTTGGCATAGAATATCATCTTTGTAAAATATAATATTCCATTTTAATCCTGTAAACACACATAAAATAGCTGAAAACTGTATCACATCTCGATCATAAGCCGATGTTTAATGTTGACTGTTACAGGCAGCCGAGAAGAAACTGCAAATTCAAAAGGTCAACAATAACCCGAGGACTGACAATTAAACTCAATTAAGACCACCATTAACAAACACAAAGCTATATACTTCATCGTCAATACTATACCTGGCCTTATCCCAGTACATATTTGGTAATCAACGTCGATAGTTGGAAAGGGCGTGAAAATATAACACTTAAACGCATTGGATGCCCACAATTTGCTCATTAAAAAGTTCAACACACATATATATATTTATCAATTTTGGAATAGTTTAATGGCACATAACAAAATTTAGTAATGTTGGTTTAGTAAACAATATAGTTATTTAGTATTAACATACTTGCCAACTCAATCTCCCTATTTAGGAGGGACTCCAGATTTTAGACCCTTAAATGTAGTATTTAATGTACATTTATTACTTTCCAACTCTCCCTATTTTAAAGGAAGGAGACTCCTAACTTTAGACCCTTAAATTTATAATATTTCAAACCAGTGGATTTTCTAATTCTAACATCAAATGCGTTCGTGACAAAGAACAACTCAAAATTTGTCAATTTAAAGAATGGTTTTGTCTCTAGCAGGTAAATAATTATTTGTTTTACTTTTGAGCAAGCAGAATATCCCCCATGGACAGTTCAAAAGGTTGGCAAGTATGATTTAAATCATGCCTTCAGTTTAAAACACTATATAAGAATATATCTACTGGCAAGATGTGATATGAACCTGAAAGAATGACTGAGGCGAAGCTGAGGTCATGCAATATCAGTTTTTCAGGTTCATATCACATCATATTTACCAGCACAAAATCCCAAAACTGTTTTATTATATGCTTCAACAATATAATAAAACAAAACAAAACTTGAAGTTCTGATTTTTGTACACGAGCCTCCGTGTAAAATTTAGCGAGGTTTGAATTCAACAGTTCAGCATCGTAGCTTTCGAAGAAATCGTCTAGGTTGTTTTTCTGATAATAAGCATGGAGGACATGCACTGCGTGTTCAATGGCCTTTTTATGTGTTAACAGCATCTTTATCCTCGAACAGTTTTGGAAATTTTCTGATGTAACGGAGGAGAAACATTCATCAGCAGCTATCTTCTAATGTCGTCTGACAGATCGCGTTCCGGTCTTTTTTATTTCTCTCACCCTTCACAGGTTTGTCTCCCTTTTAAGCTGGAAAAGATCAACTTGTCACCCCGTAGGCGGAACTAGCCTCGTGCAGACTGGCCTGATCTAAGTCATTACAATAGCATGATGTCACGGCATCAATACATTGACGTCCCATCAACAGAAGCAGACGATGAAAGACAACTCTGGATTTGCTGGAAAAACATGCAATGATTGCTTATATTTCATGCAATCACCGTTTGTCGGCAGATTTGCGAGTGAAACAGGATGGGAGAAAAACGATCATCCTCTACCTTGTGGGTGTGACAGAGAAATCTCCAACCCTCGGGATGATATTCTCGAATGTCTTACCCTCGACAAAGCCTCAGGTAATACAATCAAGAATATCCTCTCTCGGGTTGGAGATTTCTCGGTCACACCCTCAAGGTCATCCTTGATTTCCAGGGGCTACGCGCACTTTCGCTCTCTACACCAAGCGTAACCCCTGGACATCGTGGATGCCTCAAGGTAAGGGTTGATTCTATTACTCTCTCACAATTCACAGAAGAGTACCTACCCCTGTATCCATCCTTTTCCCAATGTGAGATACACCCATTAGTACAGGTGTGTAACGCAAGGGTTGTGATGATACGATACGATATGGGTCACCATAAGATACGTATCGCGATACTTGTCACAACTTTCTGTTCAAACCAGCTGTTACCATAGATTTCGTTGATTTGACACCCTTAATTGATATAAATCAAATCGAAAGTGTTTTTATTCCATGCTGAATTCATTTGTTTTTAAGTAATTTATCTTGTAGATTGTAAAGCATATTTATTTTCATATTTATTTATGAAATTGTCTTTCTTTTCGGTGATAGAACAAGAAGAAATGCACGTTAAAAATGAATTTTGTGTGATTGGTCAATACTGTTAATATTCACGTATTGGACTCACGTGTCACCGGGGAGGAGGGGATATTGAGATATCGAGGTATAGGTCACTAAAGCAGATTTTTTTAAAGAATCGCGATACTATCGGCAAATGCCACGATGCACCATCACTCCTGATATGATATGATTCATCGATGCATCGGTGAATCGTTACATCTCTACACACTGTGTATATATATATATATGATATGGTGAACAGCCTATAAGAGAAAAAGAATCATTCACCCCCTGGAGGTGAGATAGGGAATCTCAAATCTCGGGGGTAAACACTTGGCAGGTGCTTCGTGTTTGGCAATTTAAAAGGCCCTTCCACCTCTGGTTGAGATTCCCCTACCATTACCCAAACCGATTATCTATAATGATTTTAAACCGATTGCATGTCACTTAAATGCTCCGACATTTTAACATATTAATATCACAAACTGCTGAATTTAATCGAATTGAATTTTTTTGAAAAAGTTTGGGGGCATATATTCAGCATACAATTTAATGTGTAGAAATGTACAAGCTTACCAAAAGGATCTGTGAGGAACAGAGTAAGTTTAAATCCAATGTGAAATGTTATCGGACGCCACTTACACCCCAGCAACACATACCCAGGGGCTAATATAATAGACTTACATCCCAGGAAGGTATGTCAATTTTTGACTACCAGANGTTCATGAAGTTTCATGAATTATTCATAATCATTTCGCAGGGGAAGCCATTATACTAGTCTAGTGGTAGGACGCTGACCCGTGACAGAAGGGTTGTAGGTTTGAGTCATGGCAAGGCACTGTGTTTTGTATCTTTGAACAAGATACATACTTTACTCCGATTGTTCAAGTCTACTCAGCTGTAAATGAGTATGTGGTTGGGCAGTGCTAGAATTGTAGAATGTTAGCTGTGAGTACCGAAATGGCAGCACCGGCTGTATGTTCCCCAGGGAGTTGAGAAAGATATTGTCTGGTTGCATTATTAAAGGCCCTATAACCACATATACTAATTTGCTAGCTAGGTTGTGATAAAGCGGTATATAAGAACCTAAAATTATTATTATTATTATTATTAAATTTAGCCAAAGTTCCAAAGACTGTTAGAAAAAACATATTTGACCAATTCCAACCACATTAGACTTGAGCAATGGGAGTAAGTTGAACCAGACAGACTGCATCCAGGGTAAATAAAAAAGAGGCCCAGATGGCCTGTATTGCTCACCAAGATATTTGAGCAATGATGGGAAAACATTCTAACAAATGTTATTTTGCAAATATTGCCATATACTGAGTAGGCATAAGAATGTTCCAGACTAAATGAAATGTTATACTGTACTCTATCCCAGCATGCTACTGGTCAAATATCATCACCTAGGGCCTCCTGTTATTACAGAAGATGTTGTTTAAATGTTTAAAGCACATTTGACCCTTGTGATCTTAAAAAGTAGGTCCCGGGTTCAAATCCCGGTCTGGTCGTTGTATTCCTCCTTCTTCTGTTACACAAATACAGGACTTGTTGATGTAAATACATAACAATGAGATCAAAACCATCAGAGGCAGAATGCTTACATGACAGGATTTTCAACGAATACGAGTGGCAGAACTCCGGCACCTGTTTTGATTGTGGAAAGCTGGACACTGAGGTGACAGGAATGTTCCAGAACCAGGGAGTCACAGTTTACAATGCATCAAGCTATAATAAAAGCACATGTTTTTTAATATGCATGAGAAGCATCTGAATCATGAAGGATTGGTTTGCTGAAGTTCATTGAGTTAAGCTTCTTATTAACAGCAAAGTTCATTTAAGGATGTGCCTCTGTAAGTGTAATGTATGCGTGTGTGCAAGAGGAGGGGTATGATCCTATGCTGACTTTAGAGTGCTACCTCACTGAAATGCCATGCCAAAGGCATTAACATAGTGCTCCATCCATTTACATTATACTGACAATGGGTTACCAGGTGTTGCCCTTAACCGCAATGCTGCACATTAAGCAGGGAATAACAACTACTAGTTTTAAGTCCTTTGATATATCCTGGCCTAGGGACAATGGTATGTCCTGGCCTAGAGACAGTGGTATGTCCTGGCCTGAAGACAGTGGTATGTCCTGGCTTAGGGACAGTTGTAAAGTCCTTTGATATATCCTGGCCTAGGGACAAGGGTAGGTCCTGGCCTAGAGACAGTGGTATGTCCTGGCCTAGGGACATTGGTATGTCCTGGCCTGAAGACGGTGGTATGTCCTGGCCTTAGGACAGTGGTATGTCCTGGCTTAGGGACAGTGGTATGTCCTGGTCTAGGGACAGTGGTATGTCCTGGCCTAGGGACATTGGTATGTCCCGGCCTAGGGACAGTGGTATGTCCTGGCATTAAGACAGTGGTATGTCCTGGCTTAGGGATATATATATGTCCTGACCTAGGGACAGTGGTATGTCCTGGCCTAGGGACAGTGGTATGTCCTGGCTTAGGGACAGTGGTATGTCCTGGCCTAAGAACAGTGGTATGCCTGGCTTAGGGACAGTCGTATGTCCTGGCCTAGAGTCAGTGGTATGTCCTGGCCTGAAGACAGTGGTATGTCCCGGCATAGGGACAGTGGTATGTCCTGGCCTAGTGACAGTGGTATGTCCTGGCATTAAGACAGTGGTATGTCCTGGCCTGGGGACAGTGATATGTCCTGTCCTAGGGACAGTGGTATGTCCTGGCTTAGGGACAGTGGTATGTACTGACCTGGGGACAGTGGCATGTCCTGACATGAAGACAGTGGTACGTCCTGGCTTAGGGATATATATATGTCCTGCCCTAGGGACAGTGGTATGTCCTGGCCAGAAGACAGTGGTATGTCCCGGCCTAAGGACAGTGGTATGTCCTGGCCTAGGGACATTGGTATGTCCTGGCATTAAGACAGTGGTATGTCCTGACCTGGGGACAGTGGCATGTCCTGACCTGAAGACAGTGGTATGTCCCGGCTTAGGGACAGTGGTATGTCCTGACCTGGGGACAGTGGCATGTCCTGACATGAAGACAGTGGTACGTCCTGGCTTAGGGATATATATATGTCCTGACCTAGGGACAGTGGTATGTCCTGGCCTAGAGTCAGTGGTATGTCCTGGCCTAAAGACAGTGGTATGTCCTGGCCTAGGGACATTGGTATGTCCTGCCCTGATGACGGTGGTATGTCCTGGCCTTAGGACAGTGGTATGTCCTGGCCTAGGGGCATTGGTATGTCCTGGCCTGGAAGACGGTGGTATGTCCTGGCCTTAGGACAGTGGTATGTCCTGGCCTAGGGACATTGGTATGTCCTGGCCTAGAGTCAGTGGTATGTCCTGGCCTAGGGACATTGGTATGTCCTGGCATTAAGACAGTGGTATGTCCTGACTTGAGGACAGTGGTATGTCCTGGCTTAGGAACAGTGGTATGTCCTTGCCTAGAGACAGTGGTATGTCCTGGCCTGAAGACAGTGGTATGTCCCGGCATAGGGACAGTGGTATGTCCTGGCCTAAGAACAGTGGTATGCCTGGCTTAGGGACAGTCGTATGTCCTGGCCTAGAGTCAGTGGTATGTCCTGGCCTAGAGTCAGTGGTATGTCCTGGCCTAGGGACATTGGTATGTCCTGGCATTAAGACAGTGGTATGTCCTGGCCTAGAGACAGTGGTATGTCCTGGCCTGAAGTCAGTGGTATGTCCTGGCTTAGGGACATTGGTATGTCCTGGCCTAGATACAGTGGTATGTCCTTGCCTAGAGTCAGTGGTACGTCCTGGCCTGAGGACAGTGGTATGACCTGGCCTAGGAACATTGGTATGTCCTGGCTTAGGGACAGTGCACGTGTTATGTCCTGGCCTGAGGACAGTGGCATGTCTTTGCCTAGGGACAGTGGTATGTACTGGCTTAGGGACATTGGTATGTCCTGGCTTAGGGATATATATATGTCCTGGCCTAGGGACAGTGGTATGTCCTGGCCTAAGAACAGTGGTATGTCCTGGCTTAGGGACAGTGGTATGTCCTGGCCTAGGGACATTGGTATGTCCTGGCCTGAAGACAGTGGTATGTCCTGGCCTAGAGACAGTGGTATGTCCTTGCCTGAAGACAGTGGTATGTCCTGGCCTAGAGACAGTGGTATGTCCTGGCCTAGAGTCAGTGGTATGTCCTGGCCTGAAGACATTGGTATGACCCGGGCTAGGGACAGTGGTATGTCCTGGCCTAGGGACAGTCGTATGTCCTGGCCTAGAGTCAGTGGTTTGTCCTGGCCTAGGGACAGTGGTATGTCCTGGCCTAGAGTCAGTGGTATGTCCTGGCCTGAAGACAGTGGTATGACCCGGGCTAGGGACAGTGGTATGTCCTGGCCTAGGGACATTGGTATGTCCTGGCCTGAAGACAGTGGTATGTCCTGGCCTAGAGACAGTGGTATGTCCTGGCCTGAGGACATTGGTATGTCCTGGCCTGGAGACCGTGGTATGTCCTGGCCTTAGGACAGTGGTATGTCCGGGCTTAGGGACATTGGTATGTCCTGGCCTGAGGACAGTGGTATGACCTGGCCTAGGAACATTGGTATGTCCTGGCTTAGGGACCTGTCCTGGCCTGAGGACAGTGGTTTGTCCTGGCCTGAGGACAGTGGTTTGTCCTTGCCACAGTATAGCATTGTCAAATAACAAGACTTTGAAAGACAATCTCAAATATGCTGGGGCAAAATAAATCAGCTGTATAGCTAGGCTGTGAATAAGAATTTCTATGACAGCCTAGCTATTGTCACACAAATCCACTTTTTCAACAAATGAGGTACCCAGGGTAAGCCTGGTCATGTTCTAAATAACAGACATGTAAACCTGTATTTTCATTGATTCTAATTTAATGATTCAATGATACTCTGATATGGTCAATGTAACACTAACTGTTTGCTAATAGCTACAGTACTTCCTTGGTTCTAGCACAGCTCCTTGCTGAACACCAGAGTCAAAGATCAGCTTTTCTCCCACCCTTTACTGGTGTGTCTCCCGTTTTAAGCGGGAAAATTCAACTTGTCACCCCCTAGGGAGAGATAGCCTCGTGCTCATTAGCACGTATTCAATTGTGATGTCATTAAAAGTTTCACAGGTAATTATGATGTCATCAAAAGTGAATGACGATATGCATACCCAACTTGTGTTTTTGTTTACAAACATGGCAGACTACTGTCGGTGGAGCTGTGACTGAATAAATAGGATGGGAGAAAAACAATCATCCCCTAGCTACCTTGAGGGTGTAACAGAGAAATTTCCAATTCTCAGTGTGATTTTTTTGGTTGTCTAACCCTCGGCAGAACCTCGGGTTAGACAACTGAAAAATATCACCCCTCGGATTGGAGATTTCTCTGTCACACCCTCCAGGCAGGGGAAGATTCCATTAGTCATCAGGGACGGTTTTGCCTACCATGGTCATAGCTTACACTTGTCCGCAGTAAATTCATTAAGCAGCGGGTCCAGCTAGGCCAGGGCTTTGGTAGGGGGAAAAGGGGGTGCAACAAGCAGTTCTATTGCTTTGTTGTTTTTCTGTTGGTGGATTCACCTGCATACGAGTGTAAAGCCAGCTACGCATCGCCTTAGTACTGCCCCTCGTGGCAACCTTTTCAAGTCCTCAGAAAAGGCTTCCACATGTAGACAGGCCAGATGCATTTTTTAGGATCCCCTTATCATTTCAAAAAACTGTAAGTAACGCATTGGAAATTGTTTTTTCCGCCATGATGTACTATAGCTTTGATAATTCATTTCTGGAAAGAAAACCATACCTTGTCGGAAATTTATAAGAAACAATAAAGATGAAATAAAAATAAAATATAATCAACAACGTTAACAACAGTGTTCCGAGCGTAAAATTTCATCATGGCTAGACCGGGATTCGAACCCTGCATCTATCGCTCTAAACGACTGAGCTACCTGGTCGTATCGAAACGGAAGTTAAGGGGAGGTTACTCTATATAGGAAAAACAAATACAATCCACACAAGTGTCCTGGGAGTAGAACTTTGGCGGGCTAGACCGAGATTTGAACCCTGATCTTCAAATTGTTATTCAACTACACTAACCGATTGAGATAACTTGTCAATGAAAGTGTCCTGGCCAAACTGTGCTACAGTTGTAACCAAAGGGAAGTTAAGGGGAGGTAATACTGTATGTAGGACAAACCACAGTGTAGTGAAACAAGGATCCTTAAGGCACTTGAGCAATATACCATGATCAGTAACAGCCCTAGAACATACCAGGAGTTAAAGATTCTATTTTTATTATACCCCCCCCCCCCCACCCCACCCCCAGCAAGGATGAGATTTCCATATCACACTTTATACAATTGTTATAAATTTTATAAATCATACCCCCTAGCTAGGTAGAGATATTTATCTCTCTTACTTTCAGGTATTATAGATTCTGTTTATCATACCAGGTTAAGAGATTTATCTCTCTTACATACACTTGCTAAAGATTCTATTTATCATACTTTCAGGTTGAGATTTTCATGTCTCACTATACACTTGTTACAGATTCTATATATCATACCCTCAGGTTAAGATATGTATCTATCTTACATACATCTGTTATACATTCTGTTTATCATACCTTCAGGTTGAGATTTCTATGTCTCATCATACAAGAGTTATTGATTCTATTGATCATACCCTCAGGTTAAGATATGTATCATCTGTTATAGATTCTGTTTATTATACCTTCAGGTTGAGATTTCCATGTCTCATCATACAAAAGTTATAGATTCTATNCCTCCCCCCCTCTTACATGCATCTGTTATACATTCTGTTTATCATACCTTCAGGTTGAGATTTCCATGTCTCATCATACAAGAGTTATAGATTCTATTTATCATACCTTCAGGTTGTTGAGATATCTTTCTCTCTTACATACAGGTGTTATGGATTTTATTTTTTGTTTAATACACTAACCCACATGTACAGACTTACGTTTTTCTAACTATTATACAAGTCAGCTTAAAAAGTAAAAAACATATATGTTGTGTTCATTTCTGTATCGCAATTCCAGTAACGTGTTAGCTTATATTGCAACTGTAATAGTCCTGTGTTAATTTGACCCTTGCATTTTTTCAGGTTTTTTTATTTCGCCTCCTCAAAATTTTGCCCTTCAGCAGAATTTGCCCAGCGTTAATTTCGCCCTTTATATTTGATTACTATGCATGTTATGTTGTTTGCTAATATTCGCTATAATGATAAATTCACACCCATTACGGCGGGCAAAAAAGACGAAAATTAATCAGCGGCGAAAATTTCCCAGTATAAATTAGTTTAACTAATGCTGGTACCCTGGTATCCTTTACCTTAACTCATTCACCCCTGAATATGCATTTGAACTCTTCCAATTCAAAGTTTGGAATAGTTCATTATGAAATTTCAGTGGTGAATGAGTTAATTAAAACTTGCACTCCTTATACTTAAATTTCGAACATGAATTCCCTGCCTACCTTCCATTGACACTCAAGGGGTTAGTTACACTTAATTTAGCTCTCTACACCCCTGGAATATATCATATCAAAATTGAAGGCTCGATCAGTGTGCGCCACCTTGTGCATGAGACAGGAAGACTAGTTTGATCCTGTGATGTATATCAAAAGAATCTCGCAGTTTCCTAATGGAAACAAAGACTTGCTTTGAAGTCAGGTATCGCTCCCCTTTAACTAAAAAGGACAGGTATTATCCTAGCGATTGGTCAGGTGTTTCTTTCACCAAAGACAAATAGCTTGCAACATGCCTTCAATTTTGCTATGATATTCGGGATTCAAAAATGTTGGAAAAATAATTAACTCAGGCCGAAGCGGCCTTCGTTAATTATATTTACCAACATTTTCTCACCCTCGTTATATATTCCACCATAATGCACGCAAATATATTGATTATTTCTTAAATATTCTATCACTATTGTAATACTCAGAACACTAAAGAAACTGAATGGAAACAGTGGCAGCTCCATTGCATCAGACCAATTGGGTTCAGCTGTCTTAGCCCTTAATGTACTNCACCCACCCCACCCCACCCCACTCTCCCAAACTTCCAGTACAATAATATACTATTATTAGTGCAATAATCAGTACAACAAAAACTGAATTGAAATGGTAGCAGCTCCATTTCATTAGATACATTTGGTTTACCTGATATTCCCCCAAATGCATTAATGGTGACCTTGTTAGGCCAATCTCCCCATCTGCTTACTAGTGCAGTACTCAGTACAAATTTACAATAAGGAAACTGATAACGGTAGCAGCTCCATTGCATCATACAAACTTGTTTATATATATATATATACCTAGCTGTCTTATTCCAAATGTGCTTATATGGTTACCAAAATGTTGACATGGTAACAGGCTGGGATCAAATCCTCCTTCTTCTCTTAGCAGCAGAAGCACATGTTTCCCCTAGTCTGGATTGCCCCAGTGTCAAGGTGGGTTTTTCAGTAGCTCCACACTTGAGTGCACCCACAGGGAGCAATCTCTAAAGCTGACCTTGTGGTAAAACATCTGTGACTCTGTGTGTAGTTTTGTCAGGGTACTAAACCAGGGGGAAAATGACCCTAGTGGCAAACATTTGTGTGTGGTCATTCATACAAAGTCTTGTTAGCATACCTGTGGTATACACATGTTAACATATATAAAAACATTGTAAGCATACTTGTTGAATATAAAAAGCTTTGTCAGCATACGGCTGGCATATAAAAAGCATTGTCAGCATACATCATATTACATTTGGTTCAGGTAAAAAAAAAAATATGTTTGTTTCCGGATACCCTTCCGAAGGGTCTCTACCCTCAAGTTTTTATTGGCATTTGGTAATAAGCACTGTTAAACCATGGACTTAGATAGCATCCAATCTAATTCCGTGGTTAAACTTAAAGACAGAACTCCTGCTCTATATAAGCACAGTGTCCAACGTTGTTCATAGAATCACAGTAAATTTTCAGCTATCATTACATTGCTTCATATCATGGGAATGATAAATGACATTGCTATATCAGTAAATGAATTGCATTCATAAATACCTTTGATGTCTCAATAAAAATCTTGACATTGGACCTTTTAAATCAGTAACTTGGATACTGGATTTATTTATAATGATTATTTTAACAATCATAAATATATATATATATATCAAACCATCAAGCAAACGTGGCTATTCATAAATAAATGAGATATTTAAAGATTTTGTATCAACAAACATTTTCAATGTTATTTAAAAAAAAAAAAAAAACATAAAGCTAACCAATCCTGTCGATATCAATTCACACTGTTTCCTGTTAGATGGGATAGACGGGGCACAGACAGGAGAGGCGGTCTTCTAGTGCTTTTGATATTTTATCTGTTTGTTGCCGTGGAAACAGGACTATGATTGGCTCTCCTTCTACTACAAAAGATATAGCTGAATAATAATAGGTCATCGAAATCACTATACATTTAACTCATTCACCCCTGAAGACACATTTGAACTCGTCCAATTCAATGGTTGGAATAGTCCTTTAAGAAATTTCAGGGGTGAATGAGTTAAAAATATCCCCACCTTTCCCCTACGTCTTGGCTGCTTCACAAGTTTTGACGACAATAAGATTTGCCCAAGCAATTTGGGACACCTGGAAACACCTTAAAAATTGTTTGTTCA